GCTCAGCCTTAATTACAAGAGTTTCCCTAGCCAAGCTTCCAACTACTCTGCAAAACAGAATTACTGTCCAGATACCTAGGTTTGACCAAACTGTTAAACAGAGAGCTGGTAGTGGGAATCAAAGGACAAAAGCAAGCTTTCGATTCTCATGATCCTTGGGCTGATCAGAGATTGACTCAGTGCTCAAATTTAATTTACAGCAAACTGAGAACTGACCCAAGTTGTATTGGCTGGGTTAGTTCTCCACAGCAGTTCCCCTGACTAGAGATCACCACAGCAGTGAATTTCACTGTCCTTACCTCTCTCTCACCCAAGAGTTCTCAGTGTTATGGACAGGCTGAGAAGAGATGACACAAGGCCAACAATGCCAGCTTTGTGTCACATCATGTTGCTTTGGGATTTCCAAGCTTACCAATTCTGCAGCTTTTTATCTCCATTCACCAGCCAAGCACCACCAAAGTAAGAAACCAATTTTATCGTTAGAATCATTTTAGCGGGAACTATCGTGTTCACCATGAAAACTGCTGGTGCAACGCACGTTTGTGAGCGCAAAGAGAATGGAAGAAAGACAACACGAGACTGGAAATGAAGATAAGGATGCTAGCTTAGATTAATATCTCTTTTCTCCTGTCATGCAAGGGTGTTGTGGACAGTGCACAAACTGAAGTTGTAGAAAGGATCAAGGTGGCAGGCAGTAGTTAGCATTGCAGTTTTGTGTATGTGCTCAACACAGACATGAAACCACAGAAGACAATACTGAGGATCCTTAAAAATTATGTCACTGAAAGCTCAAGCTAATAAAAAAAATGGTCCTCAAGGGCTCTAACAGATGATAATATCTTTAAAGACAGCAAGTTCTCTCTTCTGACAATGACATCTCTACTGTTTAAAACACCACTAAGCTAAAAACTCTATGCATCTACATAGCTCTATACACACATACAGTTACTTAATGCTACACTTTTAGAAGTTATTTTATGTTACAGCTTATAACATCCATTTGTGAATTGCAAAATTATATACAGTGCACTACGGTAGAAAATAAATAACTAATTAAGCAAAAATGGATCTTTATTGACAATATTTTTAATTTTGCTTAATCAAGTTTTCCCCTGTGTTTTTAATTAAAAAGGAAAAAGACAAAAGCTTAGTTCATTGAAGAGGGTATAAGGCTTTCTTTCTCTGAAGGAAGGTTATATGAGTTGTGAAATCTTTGAAAATTCTGAAGTTTTTTACTCCTCCTAATAACCACAGTAAAACACTGACTAATACTGAGAACCAGGAAAACGATGCTTCTATGTTTAATATTAATTTGTACATGCAATTAAAGAAGAAAGTGACTTAACAGATCAAAAGACTAATTTTCCCACCTCTCTTTGTACCCCCTCCAATTACCAGCCCACTCCTGAGAGCAGACGGTACAAACTGAATAACACCGCAAGCTTTGCTTTTAATAGGCTAACAGACTATTACCATTCTGGACACTGATTTGAAGCTATCCAGCTCCTGCCTGGAAAACCCATCTACACTGTCTCCTGCCACAAGCAGGGAAAAATAAATAGCTAAGCAATGAGATAGCTAAAGAATATTGAATCAGTCAGTCTGATTACTAAAACAGTTCTCAGAAATTCCCAGTTTTCAAAACTGCGCACAAATTTCCATATCCTTTTTTTAATCCAAACACTCTTTATTCAATTATCAAACCAAATATTACCAAATGGAGTGCATCATGAACTGGCTTCATTTGCTTCTGAAATGTCGATATAAAACCCATAGAAATGAACAATTTTACTTGAGAAACTGCAAATTATAGCCAAATAAACAATAACAAAGTACAATGGCCTGTGTACCTGAAATTCAATCTTTATAAAGCTAGTAGATCTGTGGAAACAGATGATCAGAAGCCTCTAACATGAAGATGATTTGTGGGTAATATCAAAGTGAACAGGGATCTTCACAGTATATATGCTTTCTGCATTCCAGAGCTTAGCATACCTTTATATCTGTACAAATAATTCTTTTTATCTGTTCCCTTAACGGGCATCAGAATTCCTTATTTGCTTTGTATTATTAAGTCAGGTAACAGGAGGGGCAACAATCCTCCACCCTTTGACCACGAAAGGAAGAAAGAGTATTTCACTTATCTGGGAAAATAGAAAGGAAAGCCAACTAGAATTAAGTGCAACCAATCAGGCCTAATTAAGGCAAATGAGACCAAACTGGAGTATGGTCCTTCACCATGAAGTTTAGATTAACAGCTATACAAGAACCAAATAAGGCCCACTCCTATGAGGTTCGTCAACTAGCATTTCATCTACTACTCTTCAACATGCTATGGGTTGAGAAGAGAAGACTGCCCTAAGGCATCAGAGCCATAAGTTTGTAATTCTGTTTAAGCAAACCACTATTAAAGCACATTTATGGAAGAGAAAGACACTTTAATCACCTAAAATCTATTGCAAGCTCATGCTTTATTTTTACTTAGCTAAGCAAACACATCACAGCCAAAATTAAGAGCTCCACTGTGTAAGGTAACGTGGTCCTTCCTTGAAGGGTTTACTATTCAAATGTACAAGGTGGAGAAAGCTTGAGACAAAGAAAGATAAACCCTACTTGATGACATGAAAATAAAGAACCACTCCAAGATCAGGGGAAAAAAAATATTCACTTAACTAAAAACTGAAACTAGACTTCGTCAATAACAGAAAAGCAATTAAAGAATAGCGTTGTGCCAGCTGTTCTGTTACACTTCAGATTTATTAGCCATGTGCCAAGGGTGAGGGCTAGGCCAGCCGTTGAACACTGACAGATGCCCTCTAAACCCTCTCCCTCCCCTAACAGGACGGGTAAGGGAATGAGATATAGATCTAAAACCGATATTGAACCTGACTGCCCCCCCATTGCAATCCCCGCTGATGCTGCAGAGCAGGTGGCACTGGGGAAGCCCCAGGCTCAGTGGCAAAGGGGAGCTGTATTTGGGAACTTGAGATCAGGATCAAAGGCAGAACATCAGACAGAGTCCTCCTCAGACGCTGGCCATTGAAGAAGAGAACTTAACCCCTGTGATCTCTCAGCTTCATACTGAATACGATGTATATGAAATGGAATACTCTTGTTGGTCATCTGTCCTGTGTGATCCTCACCAGAGGTGCAACCTGTTACTTCCTTGTGACACCTTTTACTTCCCGGCACCCCCAGCGTGGCACACAAGGTCCAGCAGTGGCCTTGGTCACTAAAGGAGCAAGTATCAGCAAGAGCCTTTCTGAATACCAATCCCAGGCAGTAACTGTGAACATCAGGCATTGTCACTTCTAGTAGCAGACACTGTCTGAAAAAACATGCTGTTAACTTCAGAAAGTGCAGCCTCTCAGAGCAGGCTGAGCTGGAAAGTGAAACCATTGAACAGAATTGTTTCTGTTTAGCTCAAACCAGGACACCACCCAAGGAGACAACGGTTATGGGAAAATGACATGAAAATGGGCTAAGTGAAAATACTCTATATTCTTGCAGAATCATACCAAGGCAGCAATTCTCTGAAGACAATTCTTAAAGCAAAGAACTCAAAACATGTATTAACTATTGGCCCCTCTACCAATATTGTATGTACTACTGCTCCAGATGTACTTATTGTTTGAGATTCGAATGAGGGGTTAGGATAAGCAAAGCTCAGAAAAGAGTAACTTATCCCAGGATACATCTAGAACTTTGTTAACAAAAGCATAAATAACCATATAAGATCATTTTCTCTAAGAGCCTGAGCACCCAAAAAGCACTACGATAAGGTTTGGCTTTACCCTCTAATTGTAAGAGTAAGTCCTATAATACAGTTTTTATATTCACTGCAGAGGATTTTTTCAGCATGCATGACACACTGCAGCCCATTTCAGCAGAACATGCATTCTGTACTGAACTAGTCAAGTAGTCTAGGTACAATTCAAACAAATAGAACAAAAACCAAAGCAAACTAGCTTTTAAAGAATTGAGTGCTGCTACAATTTCAATTTTATGAGAATAATTTTCACCATCCACTCATGTTTTCTGTTCCCTTGGTTCACTGAAATCACTCTAAAATGAAAACCGAGGCATACTATAAAATGTTCTTTTCTCTAATGGTCAGAATATTCAACCTAACAGATACAGAAAGTAAGTCAGCATTACAACACTACTTATTTTTCCTCTCAAGTTACTGCTGATAATTGCACTGCCCAACAAGCAAGGAGTGCAGAATATTATTTCACAGAAAGTGATTAATAATTTTTGCATTACTTTAAAATATCATCTGTTAATAAATGGTAACTGAAAATAATACTTTTTCATAGCTTCTTAAAATATAAAGAACTACCTTACTCCTAATACTTGAATGGCTCTAAGAGCTTTCGCCAAGGTCTTTTTATTCTGTTTTGCCATGTGATAAATACACTTGAACATCTAGAAGCATAATCATTTGACCACATAGAAAGTCCACAGTAAAAAGTTTCTGTATAATCATGTCATGCTAGAACATATGAAACAAAACAGTGTCAATACTCATGTGACTTTATTTACAGTTCATCTCCAGATCCCTTTCAACCAACACATTGTAGAAATATAGTATCATGTATTAGGCAGCAGCTGATAATGTATGGAGTGATAGCTAAATTTTGCTTAATATAAATGCCAAAATGAACAAGGAGAAAATGTTGGGCAAGATGGTGGAAAAAGATCCAAGGTAATTCAATTTTAACTGAAAAAAATAAAAATAAAAACGTGTGTACCAGAGAATGTTAATGAGCCCCAAGTCCCCTGAGACCACTTTTGCTCCTGCTAAATAAAAGTGAACTGTTCTCATTCAGACCTGGCTGAAGACACATTCCTTTCTCAATGTCATAACAAAAACCGAAATCTGAAAGTACCTTATTCATCAGGTTGTTTCACTCACTCACTTTTAGCCAGAGTTATCAAACTAGAAGTAGAGAAAATAAAATGATCACAAGTCACAAACTAAAAAATTTCAAGAGTACCTTTAACTTCTTCATAAATGCTATCATCTGTTGCTTCACTGCTCACTTGTCCAACATCATCATATTCTTCCTCCTCCTCAGGAATATTATTAGATTCCATATCTATGTAACAACAGTGTAAAAAGTTAACATTTACGAGAAAAGAATGCCTAAGCAGAAATCTATGTAAAATGAAAAACAAATTTTCTATGATGTGGTGCTCACAGTATATTCTGCTTATTTTCTTGTAATGTTCATAAGGGAGAGCTTCCAAGCCAAATAGCATTCTTGGAGAAAAGCAAAAATCTTGCAAAAGGAGAAAAGTAATAAAAGCTATAACATGCCTGAAAACTAGATGTCAAGGGTTAGGGCTGGGCTGGCCACTAAATGACTGACAGATGCTCTCTATTAACGCCTCTCCCTCCTCAAAGGGAAAAGAAAAGAGAATGAAGCAGAGAGACATACGGATTGGAAAAGAAAATAAAACAGCTTTAATAAAACAATAATAGTACTAATAAGGAGATAATGAAAATAATTAAATACATACAAATATCTACAAAACTAATATCGAACCTGAACACCCATTTGCCCCCCATCCCCAGCAGCAATCACCCCTGATTCTGCAGGGCTGGCAGGCACGGAGGGAAGTCCCAGGCTCAGTGGCAGAGGGGAACTACATACAGGAGGAGGCTTTGGGAACGTGTGGATCAGGACTAGGGGCAGAGTGAAACATGATGTCCCCCCTAGGCACCAGCATTTGAAGAAGAGGGCTTAACTCCAGTGATCCCTCAGATTTATACTGAATATGACGTATATGGAATGGAAAACTTTGTTGGTCAATTTTGGGTCACCTGTCCTGTCAGCTCCTCCTTGGAGGTGTGATCTTTTTTCCTCCCTGAGACCCTTTTACTTCTCAGCACCCCCAACACGGCACACAAGATCCTGCAGCGACCTTGGTCACTACAGAAGCAAGTATAAGCAAGACCCTGTCTGCATACCCATCCCTGGCAGGAAACATAAACAGCAGGTGTTATCAGTTCTAGTAGCAGACACTGTCTGCAAAAACGTGCTGCTAACCTCAGAAAGTGCAGCCTCTTTTAGAAGAGATTGAGCTCAAAAGTAAAATCACCAAACAGAATTGGTTCTGTTTCAGCTCAAACTGGGGCAGTAGGACGTGCTATTCAAAACTTGGACAAGTGGGATTTCTACACATACAAACGTGACAGGTATGTTAATGGACAGAACTGCCAAGAAGTATGGGCAATAAAGGTTATTCCTCTACTGGCTGGCTTACCTTGAATAACAAATTTGACTTGCTGTACCCATTCCTCTGCTTCTTTGGGAGTGGCAGCTGTAAACTATTAAATGTTTATTAATAACTACTAGTAACAACAAACCCACAACTACAATTTCATTAGCAATAAAAAAGAGGGACGGTAGCATTCTCGTCACTTCCTCAAGAAACCATTAGTAATTCTTTTCATGTCTTCTGGTACTTTTCTTGCAAGGATGCTTCTTATAATGTACAGCTAATTTTGACAAATTTACGTAATTGAAGGAGAGGATGATGGATTTGAAACTCTGATCAGCAGCTGGCAGCTGTGCAGAAAAAAAGCTGCTTCTCTTCATCAATGTCAAAGCCAGAACTGATGAACAAAATTTGCCCTTGACAATTAGAAGACACCCATGAATTTCTTTAGACTGCTGGGTACAGTTTTCTTAAAAATGTTCTTGTCAGACTCCAACATACTACCTGACAGCTTAATTAACTGGCTTTCAACTGCAATCTCAGATATTTAAAACTTATTAAACTTACATTCCATATTGATGTCTAGCTGATAGATCTCTGAATTGCACAGCTGATATGTGCCTTTATGGAGATTTTCCTTGCAAAACCATGACCAATACAATATGTATTTAACACTGATATATACTTTAATTTTTTTTTTAACTGTGTAATTCATCCAAGGAATCACAGAGACATACTATACAATAGATATTAAAATACTAACATTGAAATGACCAACAGATAAAGATGATAGATTTCCTTTTTCTTGTCTGAAAAGATAATATTTGAACACATACATACGTATTTAAAATCAAATTTTCCCCCTAAGATATGAATATACAATATAAGCAGGTGAGGGTTTCCTTTCGTTAATAAGTCAGTGGAAGTTGTTTGACTAAAACGTTAATTCAGTAACTGGAATTGTAACGGCTTTATCAATTTAATTTCAAGTCAACATAAAAATGCCTAACCTGATAACTGCGCTTATCAGGAGCAGAGATTTCAAAACAACAATCCTTCTTTGCATCCTTCCGAAGGTTATTATTCATTCTGATGGTGTAGCCCTCTAAGGCAAATTCACCTTTCTGTTGTTTGTCTGTTGGAGATAAAAAGCAAAGTTAGAGCTTCATTTACAACAGCAAGTGTAAGTGGCTCAGCAGGTTATCGCTTATTCAGATTTTGTTTTCTATTTCATGAATTTTACAAAGAACAGGGAGGTTTTTAGCAAAATGATTAAGTGATGCTTCTGGAGATTAAGCTTTATTTTCAAGGAAGGTGTGCACAAAAGTACATTTTTCTGTTGGATGCCTAAGGAATTCCACAGGGGGATGCTTGCAGATGGTGGTCTTATTTAGTAAGAAGTGCATGTTATGACACTTGTATCTAGGGAAAGTCAAGAACTGGAATTCGCAAGATACGTTTCCTATAAATCAGTGTCTCTTTCAGGTTCAGTAAACCAATGGGAAAAGCTGTCTAGCTCAGAACTTGCTGAGCTCCCTCCCAAACTAACCACTTCACTCAAAAAAATAAACCCCAAGCTTCTTTTTAAGCAATTGGAAAAGCTTCTCTTCATGTTCTGCCACCCACCTCCAGATGTGCCTCTTTTCCACGTGGCAGAAACAGAGAATGAATTTTGTTATAAATTTAGGTGTGTGTTCCAAAAGCATTTCTCTCAACACAGCAAATGTTTAATTACCTAATAAAAGTACTGAGCCCTACCACAGTTTATTATTTAGAGCCATGTGGCTGTTTTAAAAGACAATTGAACTTTTCAAGGGCTCTGGTTTATAAAAGTATCACTTAGACCTGAGTTTAAAAATATACTGCATGTTGGGCAAGTGGCACCTGTGCACTCCTGAGCTCTTCAGCCCAAACTCCACATTGGATTTTACGTGCTCTGGCATGCTTTGGTGAATATTAAAAACAAACCAAAAAAGTAAAAGCAATTCAGTTTTGCAGTTTCTGTAGATCACAGTGCAGCATTCAAGTGAAGATAGGCATCATCAGTCACATTTTGCTCAAGCAAACAAAGAATAAAATGCACTTGCAAATGAAAGAAAATGACATCAAGCATGTGTTTCTTCCACAGTGAAGTGTTAATTAGCAATAAGCAGCAGGCTCAACTGTGAAACTACTTCAAGTACTGCTGAAGAGAACTTAGGTGCAAATTGAGTATCCATCGCTTATGTTTGTCAACAAAAGAAGAAAAATTCTACAACAGATAAAACAAGAACAACTAGAATTTTCAACATAATTTTGTTGTCTTTCTGGAAATTTAATAGGACAGCAAATCTTTTTGCCACTACTGAGAGGGCAAAAACTGGGTAAGACAGCAACACGAACATCAGTGGATTCAAGGGCAGTCCCTATACAAATGCTCTTGCAAGTAATCTTATACGCACATAGACACAAATCCTTTGTTTCTCCACCTTTTTATAAACTTTTACCCAGGGCAAGTAAATATCAAATTGCAAAATTATATGAGAAAATCCAGGGCACTGTTCTATTTTCTCTTCTAGTTCCTTCCCCTCTAGTAAGTTTTATTATGTCTTAATTAAATACCGATGATACAGTAGTAATACTTTATAGTTGCTCAGTCCTCTGCCCCTATATCAAACAGCACACATGCAAAATTCATGGAATGGCACCAAGGCAGATATTAGAAATAATAACTTGCAAGAGGTTAACTAGGTCCCCTTTTAATGAAATTCATTTCTGTCTAGAAATTTTATTTTTCCCTCACTTATGACCTCAGGGAGAAGATGAAGTGAAACTCATTCATTTCTCGCTCTCCCATGCTGGAGGTTTATCAAAACCCAAGAAGATAGGAGCACGCAAACAGAATAAACAGACACCAGGTTCAAAAGGTACAACATTTTGTCAAGATAAAAATGAGGCCAGCACTCAAATTTAGCCTCTTGGATTATTTCTGATGCTGCTTTCCTGTGACATGGATGATCCCTTTTATGGTAAAACACTTCTACAGAGCTAATCTCAGAAGATCTTTGTAGCGGTACTTGTTCTTTCAAAGAGCGCTACAGTTAAAACACAAAGATGTGGTACTTTGCATTGGAAGGGGAACGCAGTGTATGGTATCCACATTCATTTGATTGTTTCACTATTTATATCCTTGTCTTATCTCTCTGAATATGTTGTTCCAGTGCTGATGAAAATTACCTGTATGCACCACCTATATATATATACATATATATATCCTTCGCTATTCAATTCTTGCTGGCCTTTATAGCAACAGACTAGTCACAGCATTGCTAGTTTTGCTTCTAATTGTCCGTGCAGTAAAGTACTTCTGATTAAAGTCCAGTGTAGCATTAAGCATATGCTTAAAGTGTTGACCAAGAGGAAATTTTTAGACAATGAGACACTTCACAGCCCTGACCCAGAACCCACTAAAGTTGAGAGAAAGCCTCTCAGTAAGCATTCACGCTCCCTGTGGAAGCAAGCCAGAGATGAGACCTAGCATGTCCTGAGAAATGGCTCCGCAGATACAGAACGGCAAGACACAGAGAAGCTATAAGCTCAGCGGCGTGCTCTGACCGTGACAAACAGTGGAGGTCTACAAATCCCAGTCGCTCCTGCAGAATACACCTTTCCAGGTAGGACTGGAGACCAAGCCCATCACCTGATTGCCGTGGGGCACACGGTAGCAATTTGGCCAGACAGAGTAGTCACGTGCAGGCTTGAAGGCAGGGCTGTCTTACGATCATCAGACTCAAAGATGATCTTGGCCTCATCTCTCGGCCAAGGCTGAAAAGGCGTGCAGTCAGGCCTGGGCTTTCAGTTTAAAGGTGCCCTGTGAAGTTAGTGCCACACTGACTTCTGCGAGTCATTCAGAGTTATATTGTTTATATCAGAAATATTTTCTGGAGCTAGCTTTAGTGAGTGTTAAACACTTTTTGATGTTTAAAAAATTTGAGGACTTAAAGGTTTTACTTGGAGACTTATAATTAGATACAGTTGGGGGGGGGGTTATGGAGGGATCCTTAAGAGTAGCTTCAGGAAGCATATTTACATTACAGAGATTTCACCTTCATTCTGAATCCCCAAACAGAACCAGAATTTTTGTCCAGGCAGGAACACAACAGTATTTTTAGTGGGAACTAGGGAGAGACATGCAGATGGAACACACTTCTCTGAAGAATGATAACATTCTTGCTCCCTCTTATTTTCTCAAGGTAGGGCTTTGCAATTCAACCATAGGAAACCCTTAAGTTGTCCCAGAACAACATAGAATAGAACTGCAAAAAGTATAATAACTATCAGTCCTGTAAAACCAAAAATGATTGCAAACATCATCAAGTGTAAGTCATTCGACAACTAAGTCAAATCTCATTTCAGTATAAGCTGTTCTTTGCTGTCATCTCCTCCTCCCTTCTCCCCATTTCAGGCACACAACAGAAGAATAAATCTGAGATTGTGTAGATTGCTTTGCATCAGGAGTTTAGAATTTTAAAAAGCTGGTACAACAGATCAGAGAGTCAGGCACTAAGTATACTTGTTTAACATAGACAAAAATAGTACATAGATTTTCGAGAGAAACAAACATGGGGGGGCTATATTTAAAACATAGAAAACAGATCTGAATGAAATTTGAGAGCCACTTTAAAACATTTTTCTTACAAATAAACTTCATTCATCCTAAAAAGAGTGAAATGTTGTTAACAATGGAAACAGGGCCAATATTATACTGAGAAAAAAGAGTCTCAAGGGAAACAGAGAAAAAGGGTTTTGAAGTAACCTTGCTTAACTGAGTCCATGGGAACTTTTTAAAACAAAGAAGGGTAAACCTTCAACAGAGTCTTGAAATGATTGGGTTGTAAATTTGAGGCCTAAGGCAATGTGCCCATATTATCAGCACATGTAAAAAGAATTAGTGCGTTCTGAAGAACAGAGGACTCGGATAGTAGAAAGGAAAGTAGTTACAGAGAAAAGCATAAGGAACAAAGGCAAACAGAAAGATTTTAGAAAGTGATAAAGTATTTATAGACACTATTAGAATCTATAATTTAAGCCTCTTCATCTTGAAATTGGGAGCCTGTAAGATCTCGTGGTTTACATGGCTTCATGCTAAATGTAGTTTCACATACTTTTCCATATGCAGGATATCTGCTTTCTAAAAATAGTAAGTGTCAGTATCTCCAAAACTGTAATTCCTTTTCCAGCTTTTCAAACAGTCATTTCCGAACGCATTCATAGGAGTTCTTCCTTTTTAGAAAGCAGATCTGAATAGCAATCGATTTTTCTCTCTTTTTCTCCTTTCTTTCCCTTCTTTCTGTTATCTGGTACATCATCAAGGGTCACAGTAAAAGAAGGGCCCCAATACAACAGCGCACTACAGCAGGAACCACTGCTGATTGTAATAGTGGGATTGAAAACAGTTTCAGGTTTTTCTGATGACTATATGCCAGATCTCCTCAGGGCTGTCTCACCACACACCTCATCCACACTGACAATCTGCAGCTAAACAGCACAATAAACAGCAGCACAGATGTTGACCACCATCAGGATGACAACTTGGTTTCAACAGCAAACTAGTTTGCCACAGAACTAGCAACTGCTGAGTTGCTGGTATCCAGTTTCCTCACAACAACAACAATTTACTTCTACACTGGGACAGGCACCTTCACCTACTACGGCATCAGAACCTCTGACCACTGTGGAAAAGAAGACATTCTTCTTCAAAGACAAGTTCTGGAGTGGCCGTTGGTCATCCCAGCGCTGCAAGACAAAATGATTCCATCATGCTGTGCTACTTTTTCTGCGCTAACAGCACCAGTCCCATGGAGGTATGGCAGAAACTCATGATTCTGGTTTGTTTGCTTCCTCCACAAGCTGCTGTTTGGAGTCCAGCCACGCCTATACAATTCCCATGGACTGTGTGCCTCCACGCACTACGTGCCTCTCCCACATCATTAAGTTTCTGCTAGGAGGATCTTCCCCAAACAGTCTGCAGCCTACAGAAGCTGTAAATGTATAAGCCAAAGCATCTGTCTATAGACCCATAAAGGAAAGAGAACTCACAGGATATCACAACCAGTTCCTAACATGACACCAGCCTGCTGAGTGCTAGAGAAGATGCTTCCATGTACGAAACTTCAGTATAGGTATAAGAAGTTGCAATGCAGCCTGGATAGTCAGGTTGTTGGTAAAATAAAAATAATAAAAATAAAAATTAAAAAAATGGGCAGGTGGGGAGTTTTCCTGCTTTAATCCAAAGGCCATATGCTAGAAAGCATAAATAATCATTAGCATAGACACAAGGAGGAAAAAAAAAGTTAAAAATACCTAGTTTTATTTTGTTTTCAAAACACTAGCAGATGAAGAGACAAAGATTTAAAAACTCAAACCAATATTTAAGAATTAGAAATACACACTGTGCATTAAAGGATCATTTTTATAGTTTATCATAATTATTATAATTACCTTTGTCGCTTCCATAGTAATAGAAGACTGTCTTACTGATAGCACACCAACGCTTCTGCCATTCAAAGCCAAGAAAACTGTGGTCTGTAATTAATATAATTTGTGTTATATCTCTTTATGTCATTATTGAACACAAATATGTTATTTCTTTTGAAAGGTGAGGTAAGAGGGAGGAGGAGACAGGAAGGGCACTAAGGAAACGAAACGAAAGCTGGATAAAAAGAAGAGAAACACATGGCAATGAGAAGGAAATTAGAAATAAAAATTGGTGGTAAGAAAACAAATGGGAATTTGAAATCATATAAAGAGACAAGTCATGTGTAACATTAAATATAAGGAAATAATGAACAACTTCCTAAATATTTCCTAGCGTTATTTGCAGCATTAAGTGGGTATTAAAGTGACAATATAAGATTTATTGAATCAAGGGAAATATTGACTGAGTCAAAGCTGAGATCAATATTTGTCCTCTTGAAGGAAAATAAATCTTGATGCTCACTGAAACATGAAGTCAACATATGGTACTTTTACATATATTCCTAATGTTTTCTTCAGAAATATCTGAAAGTTTCTGAATTATGGGTCACAGTGGACTTTCACAGCATTACTTTTTTAGTCAATGAAGAAATAGAAATTTATTTTAATACCAGAGCAGCAATTATGTACTGTGCTTGTTCTGCATAATAATGCTTCAACATTTCAGCTTCTATTCAATTTTATCATTCCTGTATAAAGTTATTTGTTATTTATATCTAACACTGACACACAGACATGAAATAACGCATGACTTTTCACAAAGATAGTTAGACTTACCTTTTCTGCGTTTTTCCAGGTATCCAGCCTTCAGAACAAACTGAAGATCCTGAACTGCAATAGGAGGAAACTGATTCCCTGAAAGAAAAATAAATTCTGTAAAGCACTACTACTACTCTTTCACACTCTCAAAATGCAGGAGCTACTAGAAAGAGTAATTCTGGTAACTCCTACGCCAGATTATTTTAAGTACAAAAACCCTCCAAGTATAAATGTCAGTGCTGTTGCTGTTGTCTTCATCACTTTATTAAGGAAAAATATAGCTATGTAGCAGGCCCTACAATTTTCAGGCAGAAAAATACATAATTAAACAAACTACAGCCCCTTAGAAAACATTAGTTTGTGTTTTGAACATGGTCTGTAAAGCAAACTGGATAACGAAAGCACTAAATTTTCAAATGTGCCAACGAAACCAAGTATCACAATTCAACACAACTAAATCAGGAATGTGATTTTCAGTACCAACCTTGTACACAAACATCGTGAAACAACATACAAGGTGAATACTCTCTATTACACCATCTAATGAAAGAGAAATCAGAAAAAGAGACGATAAAAGGTGATACCTGCTGTTAGCAGACATTGCCTAATTTGAAATATGATGCAAAAATAGTGCCTGTATGATCTATAGATGATACTGGATAGACCAAAGACTTTGCACAGAAGTCTACATAATTGTTGCTCTAAAAATCTAAATTCACCAAATATTCATAAGAGTCACTGTAGATAGGTGGCAAGTTTACAAGGTAGCAATTATTCATCAAAATATATGTAATCTCATTAATCCTACCAATATATAAACATACAAAAAAGGACTGATACCAGCTGACAAATCCTATGTAAAAAAAAAGAACAGCTTTAAACTATGCAGTGTGGGTTAGAGATCAATTGTCTGACTTCGAACCAAGAACACTGCCTCTGGAAGTGCCAACTTCCTGGATTTTTGGATTGTCCCTTAAAATAGATTTATTTTTTTTATCGGTGTCCACAAACTAGTTGGTTTATGATAATCATATTTAAATACAGTTGTGAGAGGAAAAAGACAAGAAAGAGATAAGAACATGAAGAGAATGTTATTTTTTAAGCTGTGAAAATACTCAAAATAAAAATGTATTCCTTAATACAACTGAGTCTTTAGACAACAAAAGATTTTGTTGTATACCACAAGGCAGTACGCAAAATTTTATACAGATTGATATTTCCACTGAATTTTTGTAATTAATATTACTTTTAAAGATTCAGAACCCACTAGCTATTATTCCAGCTTCTACAGAATTCTTACTACTATGTTAAAAATACAACAGTTATTGGCTTCAAGTACATGCATTATAAAATGATACAGCTGTTCCCCTTGCTTGACAAGATGCAATCACTGCTTAACATTAAATGAGAACTTCACACAAAGACAGTCACTGGCTGGTACATGGTAAGCCTAATAGTTAAAAAGACGATCTAATGATGATATAATGAGTGGGGGAGGTGAAGAGTTTTACAAATATACATAGTGTGCTGCTTTATATTGGTCATTGGGAGGCATCAGTGTGCAACTCTTACAGCTTTACCTCTCCCAGTAGGACTCATTTTAGAACAGTGCATCTCCAGATGTGGAAGACAGAAGGCCTAATTAAAAGAGCAAACAAAACCAGTTCACTCTTAAATTCTTTAGTTTAAGAGTTTCAGCCACTATTTGGATCTAATTTTGCACGTTATTGTTTGTATCAGTTTGGGTTTTGATGAGGAAGCTTGGCAAGCGATCATTCAAATCAAACGGCACACACAGTCCCACAGAAGCACATACTTGGGGGGACTCCTTTATGATTATTCTACCTGTAGGCAGAAGCTCATCTGAACTGACTACTTCAGGAAGTCAAAATTCCCCTCTCAGTTTTGTTACTTCTCCTGAGACAAGACATCATAAATTTGATGATGGCATTTTCTGGATTTACATGTATTTCGCACAGGGCACTGAAAGCTTGTGAGGAGAAGAACCTGCATGAAAAGAGGCAGTCTGTCGTTGTTCTGGTGACACTACAGAAAGAAGTCCTCCTCCCATCCTCAGGTTTTTTTCTTGTGCCTCAAAGCAACGGAGGCAGTGACTCCACAAAAAAAGCAGCAGCTGGTCAACCTCACTGCCACTCACAACCTGAAAGCCATTGAAGCAGAAGCAGATCACGTGCATATTGATCATCCTTCTGTCAGAGAAGCCTGGGAACCAAAAAATATGATGGAGCTTCAGTGGAAGGGCAGGAGAAATGGCCCCAGTTGTAATATCTCATGACATATACAGCTGTACATGAAAGAAAAAGCATAAATCTGGCTAAATTCCTTCTTTCATTGCCCTCTACCTCCAGAAGGAAGGGGAGGGAGAATAAGTAGTATGAAAAGTATAAAGGACAGAGCAAGAACCACCTCTTCTCAGATTCTCATTAACTGCAGGTGTTGTGCATATGTGGCAGGAAGGAGCACAAACATGGATATACTCTTACCCCTGCGCTGCAATCAAAACAAGGAGAGGAAAGAAGAGAGATTGACATCTTCCTTGCAGCTACTGGCTAGAGTCAGCACGCAAGACTCCTAAAACTGTGTCACTTTTTTCTTCCTTCCATTTTGTTCATTGGGCTACTCTCATGCCCACATCCCAAAAAGGATTCAGAGTCAACTGCAGTCCCTAGATGTGGGAAATCCGAACTGCAAGTTTGGAATTTGCATAGCAGGTTGGATTTCACAGTTGCCTTCGATCAAACTTTTGCTTTCCCATTCATCTGAAATCGATCAAGCTTGGAATACATCTCCTAAAAAAAGTATCACAAAAGCAGCACTTTATTATAGTAAAGAAGCATTTGTTTACATTGCACTAGCAGCTGAGATCAGAGACTCATTAGCTGACTACTGCATGGAACTTTGAATAAGACAGCTCCTTCTACAGAGAATCTATTTAGCACACAGAAACATTGCCAAGAAAGAAGGCATTACTACTTCTTTTCTAAAAAAAAAACCAAACAAAACCAAACATGAAAACCAACAACAAAAAAAAATCAAAAGCCTGTGAGGCAAATTAAACAACTTACTTCAAAGTACATACTCCTTTAGAGTTTCAAGCTCTGAATTTCTAAATATTGTACTCCCATGCATGCCCCAGAATGTCTTCAAGGCAGGGAAATTTTTCCAATCCCTCACGGATGCAGGTGAAATAGCCTGAATTTCAGTTTCCTCTAATTTTACTGGAGGTTGCCCACTACAAGAAATGAAATGTAGAGATGCAAGGAGCTTGCATCCCAGGGATACAAGACAGCACCTACTGGTATTAACTTTTTGGGGATTACTCAGCTACTTATGGTCAAGGTACTAGGTCAGAGCAAAATTTCTCTCCCAAAAAATCAGACCAGCAGATACTACCACATCTTCCTACCTACTTCCTAATCCTGTATGGTCTGTTTCCAGACATGTCTCAAGGATTTAGAAATAAAAACCGTACAAAGGCACAGAACTCTTCCCTTGTTTCTCCTTTGGGACACTGTGGCTTCTGAAGCCAATTTTAAATACCAAAGTGACACTGTGAGTCAGCAAGTGCTCTGTGACTTGCAGCTGTGTGAGTTTACAGGTGGAGGAAGGTACAACAATTGCTCCTGTGTACCCTTCCAGACCTAATTTCTGCTGTATCATTACCCTGACAGCTGTGGGCAAGCACAGATCTGAGGATAGAGAGAAATAAAGAAAAAGAAAAAAGACTCCTTTCCATTCCCAAGTTTGTATTTCACAAAAAATGTCTTGAACCTTATCTTTTTGATGTGAAAATCAGATCAATGCTATCCAATATTTGGGGAGATTATTATCTTGCATCCCTAATATACAATATAAAGTGAGGGAGGTCCATCTGCTTAACGTTACAAGCTTTCCGTCTTTCTTGACCACCCACTCACACGTGAATCTCGCAGAATAATTTCTCTTCTTATCCTGGTGGCAATTACTTCGATGTACTCCAAACTGAAATCTGCAAGTTATGCTTCACATACATACTCCCAGAATGATGTGTACAAAGGCCATCAAAGACCAGATCAAAATATTTATGAGGCCTAAAGCTTCAAGTTTTCTCTAAAAGTGAATTACACATATAATGCACCAGGCTCTTCCTCTTGGTTCTAGGCACTCTTGTGCCAAGTGAGCAGCTGGCAGTTATTATAATATTACTGCTGCTAGGCTAAAAATTCCTCAAGTGAAAAGAAAATGAAATGCTCTCACTCAAGCATAAAGCCAGCTTTTCTACCAGTTATGCTCTGACTTCAGAAAAACAAGAAAGTTATTAACATAGGTGTGTTAATGCACAGGTTCCACTGCAGAGATCCCACGAATCCAGTCCATCTTGTGACTTTAGAAAGATGTCACACTACAGCTTGTAGCACAGCTACAATTTGGTAATCAGGCAAACACCTAAATGATGCAATTCTGCACACTATTGCAATGGTGAATTTGGCCCATTACTTTAAAACAGTTTCATCAGTGTCACTTCACATGATAAAGCATGAAATTCAATTATTATGCAAGGCATTTTGATTTTCAGAGGACCCAAAGCTGTTAAAATTTAATTCTGTATACAAAATAGATAAAACAAAACGAGACGGCACTATTCTGCACTGTACACCAATAGAAATATTTTTTTATTTCTTCAATGTGGGCTAAGGGATACATAAAGCAAGAAGTAATTAGAGGTCAATGCATTCTAAAGAGGTGCTTAGCATGCTTATAGGAAGTTAAACAGACGAAGTGGAGATAAGTGTAATTCAGCAACAGCTAAGTGGTTGATTACAGTTTGCTTTCCGAGTAGCGGACCATAGGTTTTAAGTATTATAATGGTAAAGACTTCTTGCTCGAATAGGAACAATTCACTGTTGTTCAGTCCTTGTAAAAGAAAACTGCCAGGACAAAACATTTATTTGATTATATGATGAAAACAGGGATTGTTATTTCTTTATCTTCCTTCCCTTAACTCAAAAAAATTAAAAAAAAATTATAATCACTATGTTGAAACGTATTTTTCCAGCTTCCTTTTTACTGCACTGAAAACCCATTTACACAAAAAG